CATACATTATGAACGCAGCCTAAGTATTGTCTGTTCCTGTTACACTTTTGTATACAGCCGTTATGTTATTATAAATATTATAAATGTAATAATAATAATTTATAACTATTAATTAATAGCATCAATATAATACAATCTAACTGTTCGTTTCATCCCTGTGGATTTGGCAAAAAATGTTATGGAAACGCCTTAATTGAGGTACACCAAAATTTATTTCGTCGCGATTAGAAGACGCTTATTCGTGACGCACAGATTCTTGAGGCGATAGACCTCTTCAGCTTGGGTCCAATGTTTTGTAATTTCAGACCACGTGTCATTCCCTAGAGTATCATTTCTTTGTTTAACGGTTGTGCATGAGAAGACACATGAATATGGATACAACTCAAGCAAAGAATCTTATTCTCAAGAGAATGACACGTGTTCTGAAATGGGAAACCTTTAAGCCCAAGGTAAAACGTTCTATTGCTTCCAAATGGTTGGAGCAGCGATGCCGTCGTTTGGATAATATAAATAAATTTATATACCTAATAATGTTAATAGCTAAAACCGTTACATGTGATTAGACTATAAAAAATCTGATTGAGCTTGGGCGTATATAAAGTTTTCCCATTACAGACCACGTGTCATTCTCTAGAGTATCATTTCTTTGTTTAACGGTTGCACTGAGAAGACGCATGAATATGGATACAACTCAAACAAAGAATCTTATTCTCAAGAGAATGACATGTGGTCTGAAATGGGAAAGCACTACGCCCAGGCTAAAAAGGAGGTCGATCGTTTGGCCACTTCCCTAAAAATTTGAAAATTGTATTTGAATAAAAATTTTAGTTATACGGATTCTTGAAACGAACACTTACCCAGTCCCTTCTCCAATTTTAGTGGCTAATAATTGTAATAACTGTAATAATAATAGAATAATCGATGCAGAAATGAAAAAAAAAAAAAAAAAAAACATCTCGTCTTGTTAGTTTTGCCTCAAATGATTCAATCAAAAGAACAATCTTTTGTCGTTCGATTAAATACGTTTTTCTACTCGAAAACTAAAACAAATATATTCATTATTTCTACGAATGCATCGAAAAAGATTTACTCGATAAACTATCTATGAGCACAGTTGTTATTTTAAATTATATCAAATTAAGTCAGGCTTGAAACGCGATACAAAACAAATGAGCACAGCGTTGCTGGAGACGTCGGAGGAGTAAAATAAGACATATCTTCTCAAAAATAGAGTATGAGAGTTGAGGTAGTGTAGATTTGTAAAGTTGTTGAAAAAAGCTTTGGAACTGCTTTTTCTTTGAAATACTGTTGGTTAGCAGTCTAAACTATTAAGATATTTAACGCCAAATTGGCTGCATGCGCGACTTGTTGCAAGAAAATTTGCTGCGCGCGAGGGGGAAAAAAATTTTCCAAATTTCCGCTGTGTTCCTTGATTGCAGACTCATTGACTCAGGGTTAGCTTCGAATCAGCTTTTAAATCTGTATTCAAAAATACCAACGGTAAAGTAAAGAATGCACAACTCTAACAGTACAAACACTTTGAAATTCCACGGACCTTTACTGGAACACATGAATGTTCTGCACAAAATGGCGGCTAACCCCGAGCAGCAAACTGGAAACTGGATTATCATAGTCTCCAGTAAAGCTGCACTGACACAGCAACACCATGTTCGAGCATTATTATTAATTAAAATTAAAGTTGATTTAGCTTTTATTAAATCGCGTTATTCATAGTATTTACCGTACTTTTATAATGACTTCGTACTTCGCAGGTTTCAAGGTAAGTCCATTTTCTGTCTTGACCGTCTTCTTCTTCTCCTCGCCAGATTCAGCGCTTGTAAACTCGAACTGGTGAACCAGACTTGCCAATAAAAACGGCAGTTCAACCTCGGCTAGCGATCTACCAACACAAGCACGACGACCGGTAGAAAATGGCAGGAATTTGGGTAACCGYCTAGGGGATATCACGTGACCTTTGTCGTCAAGGAAACGGGTAGGATCAAAAACATCCGGGTCTTTCCATAGCTTTGGATCTCGTAGCACGGACCACAGGTTGACGAAAACTACGGTACCTGATGGTCAAAGACGGTCAAAAATGGTCAAAGATATTTATTTTTCGAACATGAAAATGAAATGAAATGTAAAATTCGTAGAAAACAATTTTCTCTTGAGTTGTGTACCTTTAGGGATGAAGTAGCCACGAAAGATGACATCAGATGTGGTAGAATGAGGCACAGACAAAGGCGCCAAAGCACAGATACGCAACAACTCGTAAACACAAGCGTTAGTGTAGTGCAAATTGTCAAGGTCTGATACTCGAGGCATCCTGTGTCTTCCAATGACTTGATCAAGCTCTTCTTGTGCCTTCCTTTGTACATGAGGGTATTTGACCAAGTACGCAATGGCAAAGTAAAGAGTGATGGAACTGGTATCAAAGCCAGCTCCAAAAAGATCGACAAGAACCATGATAGAATCCAGGTCATCTGTGGGGAGACCTTCGCCTTCAACCAGGTTTGAGTTGCAGTCTAGTATTGGATTTTGTCTTTGCTTGTCCTTGAGATTGTTGACTCCTTCCAACAACGAATCAGCGAGATTACGAATGGTTCCTCTTTTGTATGAGGATTTATTTTCAAAGTACAATTTGCTGATGACGCTCTTTGCTTGATCCATGATGCCACTCAAGCGATCAAGTTGAGGATTGGGAAAATACTTCAACCAAGGCATGAAATCTATAGCTAAACCACATCCAACGGTCTCGCGGAACGAGTCTGAAAGAGCTAGGATTTTATCCACGTCTTGTTTGCAGTAATCGTCGCCGAATAGAGCTCCAAGTATGACTGTAGCAGTGGTGGACTTGAGTGCTGACATGACATCGTATGGTGTGGCTTGGTTGTTGTGTAGTTGTTCGATAAGGTGATGTCTTCCTTTGTTAAGAGTAGCGTACAAGACATCTTTAGTGGTGAGGTACTTGTGGATGGCAGAGAAGGACGTTTTGCGTAATATCTATTGGAAAAGGCAAGATGTGTGTTAGAAACAACAGGAAGGAAAAACAACAGCAGCAGCAAAAGCAGCAGCACCAACAACAGCAGCAACAGCAGCAGCAGCAGCAGCAACAAGAGCAATAGGGGCTTTGTTCCATCACGTGATGGCAGATATGACAGGAGGCACAACACTTAATCTTTTTCCCCTGGGAAACTGAATTCTTTGTTATGTAAATCAGTTTAGACGAGATTCAATTGTTCCTGCCTCACAGCCGCCAGCAACACTAAAAGCCGAAACAGCAACAACAACAACACAACATCAACAGAGAGCAACAACAGCAGCACTGCATAAGCAACCACCACCACAGTAACGATAGCAATAACGCCACTAACAAGAAGTAGAAGTGTGTTAAATCAGGTATGATATTGATCACAAAATCGACAAACACAAATCACAGAACTCGGTACAGCCACGGCAAGAGGTTGAACCAATTATAACGCCAAGAATTAAGCCAAAAACTTAAACAAATACGTTTTTCTCACCTGCCACTTCTTGCCGTATGTTGCATTTAAGATACCTCTTCCGCCTTGTCCGGCCATCTCCATGGTAACCAAGTCAGGCCGACCAGCAAACACTAAGGAGTTCTTGACCAACGCGTCATGAATGGCTTCGCTCCCGTTCAACACGACAGCCAGTCGGCTGCCAATGTACAGGCTGTACACATCACCGTACTCTTCGCTTAGTTTGAGGAAGTCCTTGTAGTTGTCTGACCCGATGCGAAATGCCGCCCCTATGGTTAAGACACATGGACAGACAGAAAACATTAGTACAAAGCTCGAAAAAATCATTTGTTTTTCTCTAGCTGAATATTTCAAGTGGTCTTTCATTCTCGCACACAATAAGTACCATTCAGACTGGATATAATCCATATATAGTTTTAGACGGCATAATCTTAATTGCCTTTGATCGATGTGCCAAGCACAAGAACAAGGACAACGGAGGACAAGGACAAGGACAAGGATAGGGACGGCGACAGGGACAAGGACTAARAAAGGAGCTTCTACGAAAAAAAGTGGTCAAAAATGTACATTTTTTGAGTAGAAGTCATGTCATTTTTCAGTTAATGAAAGTTTAATTTATTTTATCTACTTTTGTCCTATWGAAGTTCAGTTTATTGGATCGCAAGTCGAATGTGTAAGAGTTGGCAACCACTTTACTAGCCTGCGTCACATCCGGAATTTTCTTCGTAAATACGAGAAAATTCCGGATGTGACGCAGGCTACCACTTTACTAAAATTAACAAGAAATTGATTCCTCATCAGCATCGTAGTAAACTTCATATCAGTCAGAGGAAGGGTGGAATACTTCTGAAAAGTTCTGAAAGCGCGCGAAAGATTGAGAAAGAAGAACGAAAACCAGATCAAAAAAGAAAAACTGAAAGGAAGGAAGGAAGGAAGGAAGGAAGGAAGGAAGGGAGGGAGGGAGGAACGAACGAACGAACGAACAAACGAACAAAGAGAGCAAAATAGCTAAATATAGTAACTTCAATTGTCAAACTTCTTAACCTGCGTAGAGTTTAAATTTTTATACCTCATACCTATTCACTTCATGACTAGATTAGGTTATTATTTTCGGAATGAAAATTAGTTGAACATATTGACTTTTTTTATTGGAAGTTTTTCTAGAAAAGTCCGGAAAATTGGCGGAAAAACCGCAACCAAAAAAGCACCCAAAATATTTATCTTATAGTTTACTGAAAGATGACGTCTGATGACGTACAGCGCCGTACGTGGTCAGTAAACGCCTCAGTCTCGTCGCTTTATGAAATTCATTCATTATTTTCTCTACATGTGCCGAGCCGCGTGATTTAAAAGACTTATATAACGCTTTTAAACTGACAAAGTTTTCCCGCGGCAAAAAAATGGGTCGAAAAGAAAGACAAACAAAACGAACTAAAAAAAATTTTAAACAAACTGTTGACAAACGTTTTAACAACCCTAAACTCGACCTTCACTGAAAGCTAAATATAGTAATTTCAATAAAAACTGAAACTTATTTTTTAACCCACGAGCTAGTAGAGTCATGCATACCTATTTAAATATGTATGAAGAGAGATTTTAGATTCAAGAATGACGTTACAACATATTTTATTGGTAATTCTTTTGAATTGTGTTTTCATTCCACTCCAAAACGAATTAACTAGTCTCAGAATGTTATTTGCGTGTCATGAAATCAAGGCAATTATTATAAAGCAAAACTATTTTTGAAATTCAAATTGGCGAGAAAAGTCTAGAAAGTTTTTTCGAGAATTTTTTTAGGTGAAGAATTGCTTTATAAAGGGGCTGAAGTATTTCGAGAAATTTGAATAGATAATATCGTTTTGAATCCAGAGTACTCACAAAAATTGTCATATGTCTTCATTCTTTCGTCCTTTTTTGTTCGTTAATGCGTTTGCTAATTCGTTCTTTCTTTCTTTTGTTTGTTTGTTCGTTCGTTCGTTCGTTCGTTCGTTCGTTC